AACATGAACATTGTTGTGTGTGTGTTAATTAATAAGACTGGATTTTAGGTCTCAATGACCTAAATTAGTTAAATTACATACTCGTATAAGATTTTGATTCTTTTACTTATGTACTTATTGATTTCATTGTTAACTTTTTATGATTTCTTCTTCACAAAAGTTTCTTGTTTTAATTTTGCACACTCGATGACTAGCAGGGGCGGACCGTAGTACAGACCCAGGGGGGCGGTCGCCCCCCCCCAACAATTTTTTTTAGTGTATATATATAATAAAAAATAATTTTCGTCCTCCCAAAAAATATTTTGTTTAAGTTACCGCCCTCCCAAGACAAACTTCTTGGGTCCGCCCCTGATGACTAGTATTATTTAAAAATGCTTAAATGAAAACACAAAATGTTCATGATCTATAGGTCTTGAATTCATAGTTTTAACCTATATATCTGACTATGTTTCAAAATATTGATAAATACGGCGTACGTAACTGGACTACTGAAGCAACCAAGTACTATCCTCCGTTTTTTTAATCGCAATATGTTAAATTTCACAATATTCACATGCTCTACTTTGAATACATTTTACACTATTGTTTTATGAAAAATATTTTTTGAAAAAAATATTGTTCAATTCATCTCATTACAACTTTTCAAAATCTTACTTTTGAAATATTTTTACTAATACAGAATAAGATATATTTACGGTCAAAAATGTGCGTTAGCAAATGTGAAATGTTGACCATTGCAACTAAAAAATGTAAGAAGTAATTTATACACGTATTTTATAATGGGTAAAGCAAGTTAGCAAGGTAGTGTCTAAGATATATACACATGCATATGTTCCGCGTGGAAAGATATGAATTGACAAAGCCTTGCTAGAGTTGTCACCAAATGAGTAATGTTGAAAACGAAGTTGCAAGATTACTCATCCGATAGATCCAAAGAAATCAAATAGTCAGGGCAGTGAATCTATATAACTCCCATATTATTACGGTGAAACTGCTGTAGTTGTGAGATAGAGAATTAAATAAGGTTCCACACCCATCCATATTTGAGGCCATTCAATTTATCATAAAGCAGTCATCCCTAACTTTGTCTAGAGTTGTTCAATTTGTCGGTCCTAGTGGAGGAGTTAGGGGCATGGGGGCTAGAGTCCTGCTTCGGGTAAAAAAATCAGCTTATAGGGAGTAATAGGTTTTAGAGATATTACCCAAAATGGGACTAAAAAAGTTTGGAAATTCCAAAATATGACTTCCATGTTTTTATTCCCAAAATAGGACTAATTACTGTCATGTTTTGGCAGTACCAGACTTCAAACATGACAGTATTTTCTAAATTTGGTAGTAAGTAGTCCTATTTTGGGAATAAAAACATGACAGTCCTATTTTGAAATTTTTTAACTTTTTAGTCCCATTTTGGGAACTTTCCCTAGGTTTTAATGTCCCCTTCTATGGTTAAAATAATAATATTCTGTAATAATTAGTCAATGTCAATTTTAGATTAAGTATTCAAATAAAACAAAAAAGTATTAACAAAAAGTAAAGTATAAAAATGAAATCTAAAGTAAAGAGAATGGACAATTACATAAATGAAAATTTTAACACTTATGTTTCAAAGAGAAAAGTTACTAAGGTGAGTTTTCTCACTCTTAAAATATACTACCTCCGTCCCTTTTTTATTGGGACGGAAGAGGGTGACATGAGTATTAAGAAAAGTGGGTTTGTGTGGTTGATATTAATTGATAAAGTAAGAATAAAGTAAAAATGATTTTGAGCCACACAAACTTTACCAAATAAGGTATGAGACAATTAAATAGGGACATTCTAATATGGTAAAATGAGACATTAAAAAGGGTACGGAGGAGTATGTAGTAATATAGGCCTTTAGTAAACGAATCGACTGAATCGGTTGAAATTATTGCAATTCTCGCTGAAGGGAATGAATATACTAAGTTGGAAAATATATATTTAAAATATACTACCTCCCTATTTTATAGTCTTCTACAACAAAGGTTTGACACAATATATAAGTGAAAAATAGTAATGTAATGAATGGGGTAGAAAAAATGAGAAAGGGACGGTATGAAAAAGAATATTAAAAGTAGGAAAAGTGAGAAGAATTGATGTTTAAAGAGAAAACTTCCCAAAAATAGATATCGTAGTAAAAATTAAAATACTACGTACATCACAAAAAGGAAAGCGTAGTCAACATGTATAAGCAAAGAAAAGAAATAACTCACTAGTAATGTAAAGAAAAATGCATGATACTTCCTCCGTATTAAAGTGTTTGCTACAACAGAATTTGATATAATGGGCATTACATGTGCAAAATTAGTTTCTCAAGAGGGGTACCACACACTAGTCATCGAGTTTAAACATCTTAGGACAATCGGGTTCTCATCCTTCTAAGTTTGAAAATTGATTTTTGCTACTTTTAGTTATGTGATTATAATGTCATCAATATCAATTTTGGTACTCCATTTGAAATTTTGAATTTTTCCATATTTAATTTTGTCCTACAGCTATGGTGAAAAAGGCACTTTGGTACTCGTGTATGAAATTTGTCATATTTACTCCTTTAATTTTCATTGACATTTTTAGTCTTTCATATCAAAACCATAGAGGTAGAACCAAAAGTGTCAATTAGACGAAACATATAGAGGACTAAATGCGAGGAACATTAAACTCGAGGACTAAATATGTCTCTCACACAATAGTCGAAAGACTAAAAATGAAAAAAATTAAAAATCGATTACCAAATTGTTCACTTATTTACGAGATTTAATAATTTGAAGATTGAAAGTGGCAAAAACTCTTTCAATATATATGATTGAGGGAGGTATAGTGCATGGAGCATAGTTAGGATGAGACAATTAAGGATGTTTTTACTTGGACTGTAATTTGCTGGTCTGGTCTGGTCTGGTCTGGTCTGATCTGGTCTGAACTGGTCTGGTCTGGTCTAGTAAGGTTTGGTTTCTTTGTATTTTTATAACTATCCAAGTCTGGTTTGGTCTGGTCTGGTCTGAACTGGTCTGGTCTAGTCTGGGACAAATTACAGTCCAAGTAAAAACATCCTAATTCAGAAGAAATTTTAAGGAAACACACGTGACTCTCTTATATTGAGGCATATGGAGTATGGTGGCACCATGACCCTCACCCATTTTTTATTGGAGTCCCCCATTAAAACAAATGTGGTGATGAGTGACACATTGGATTTTGTTGATCGGGTATTACTTTCTATGGTTGAAATGTGGGGCTACTGTCTTGTTGGATACTTCACGGGAAGATTTCCCGGACTCAAAGCGGTTCATGATTTGAAAGCAACATGGGGAGTGAAATGCCTTGTGAGGTCTCTTGATAAGGGTTGGGTTATCTTTAAATTTCAAAGTGAAATGGACAGATCTAAGGTGCTACATGAGGGACCTTACAATGTCTTTGGGAAACTTCTAATGCTCAAGGAACTTTCGGAAGATTTCTCGTTTGAGGATGAGGAATTTCTAAAGGTACCAATTTGGATCAAGTTCCCTAAACTACCAATGAAGTTATGGAATGATGAGGCTATGAGTGAGGTGGCATCTATGGTCGGGGTCCCAATAACTACGGACAAGATCTCTCAAGAGAGGACTAACCATGCCTACGCTAGAGTGTTGATTGAGGTGGATGTTTCAAAGCCACCCCCGTTATCATTTCCCATACGACTACCTTCCCGAAAGGTATTCAAACAAAGTGTGGTTTATGAAACTTTTCCTAACTTTTGCTTTCATTGCAAAGAATTTGGGCACCATCCATTTATTTGTAAAAAGCTTGCAAAACATGGTGCTGTAGAGTGCGTTGATAATGGAAAAGTTGTTGTTCAAGGAGAAGAACCTAAGAATAAAGTGGAAAGCATAGAGGAAGAGAAAAGTGAGAAAGCAAAGGAGGAGGCCCAAACCATAGTGCTAGAAAACGCACACACTGAACAGAAAGTATTAGAGGAGATTGAAGTTAACCCGGACCAGATGGAAGAACCACATTCTGTGCAGGTGATACCTCAACCTAAGGAATTTGTTACTCAGGAACTTTTCCCCGACGACTACTCATTGCTAACCAAAAGTCAATCAAATACGCTTCAGGGTGACGAAGACTATTTCATCTACGCGGTCTACTCAAACTATGAATCACCTCACAAGCTAATGACTGGACTCAAACGTTACAAGTCATTACATCCGGAGGCAAAGATGTGCCCCCCTTATCTTCAAAGGGCCATCCAGTTTCACAATAAACACAACTGGCTGCTCTCAACAATTGTCAGTGTGCCTACAAATTTTAATTGTTAAATCTCCATTCTGAGCTTTGTATTTGAACTTTTCATTATGTACTCTGGTTTTTGTTATTTTCTTTTTTAATAAAATTGGAAAGTGTTCCCCGGCGCTTTCCCCACTTACTGTGGTAACTTCGGGATTAAAAAAATGTGGTGATGATAGTGCCACAATACCCATTATTTGATATACTCCATAAAGGAGTCATATGGGTCTCCATAAATCTACTCCATAAGGGAAGTGAACTCATTAGATTTACCAATTCAAGTTTATATTAGATATATGCAAAAAGGTGAAAAAGTGACGTGAGTATTCCCGAAAGATATGAGATTAAAATTAATTAAAGATTAAAACTCCTTTTGTCTTTATATATTAACCCTTTTTGATTTTCATGCATATTTAGGAAATAAATTTCTTTATTTTGACTTCTTGAAATGTCCATTTTACTAAGGATTAAATTTTATTGTAATGTACACTGCTTTGACACTGTTTGAGAGTGATTAACACTATTTTGCTTTGTGTTATCATTATTAGTTAAGAGTAATATAGTAAATTGATATAATTTTTTTTGCGAAATAGTAAAAGATGACTTTATTTGAGATGAAAATGAAAAGTTTATTTAGAAACAAATGTAATATATTTATAGTATATAATAACGGCAAAAGTTGAGGGTGAGAGTACAGTCGAGTTTGATCATTTTTGGCAAGAATATTAGATGTAATGAAATTTATTGAATCTAAAATTGGCAACTGTCTAATTAACGTTGGCCCAAAAGTAGAAAAGAACTGTTTATGACTGTATTATTGGTATTTAGATATACTATCGTATAAACTAATTAATGACATAACACCACTTGACTTGGTAGTTGACTGAGCCACTGAGGGAAGACTAGTGGAACGTATAGTAACCCCAGATGGCCAGATCGATACAAGACTGCATGAATCAAATTAAAACAATGTAACTACATCATACTCCCTCCGTCCCATTTATATTGTCCCGGAAGAGGGTGACATGGTTATTAAGAAAAGTGGATTTGTGTGGTTGATATTAATTGATAAAGTAAGAATAAAGTAAGAATGATTTAGAGCCACACAAACTTTGCCAAATATGGTTTGAGACAATATAAGTGGGACTTCCCGAAAAGGTAAAACGAGACAAAATAAATGGGACGGAGGGAGTAGTCCGTAATTAAATACCACGAGTCCACGACAAGGACATAAGTAACCTCTAACAAATTAAAGTACAGAATATGATCGACAGTTGCAAGAAATCGATGATTCCTAAGATAAATAATCCAGCCAGGCGAAGACACCTTCAAATTAAATCTGCATGCCATTAATTATTAATTACGCTAAGCTTCTACAACAGCTTCTTATTCACCACTTCATACTATACGTACGTTCTAATAGTATACTCCGATCCGTATATATCAAATCATCTTCGATCACTTCCATTCATCACTCATCAGTGACGAGCTGGAGGAGAGAGGCTGCCAGCATCATCGCCGCCGCCAGCTGCTACAGGCGGGTTGGGTACCTCCACGCCCGGGTTAGGGAGGAGAGTGTCATCTCCGCCGGGAACATAGCCGGAGCCGCCGCCTATAATGCCATCGAAGGGGTTGATGGCGCCAGTTCCGCCGCCACTCTTGCCGGTGATGGGGTTGTAGTTGAACGGGTCCACTATCTCACCCTTGGGCGGGATGACTACGCGGCCGAAGCCGGGAATCAAGACGGTTCCATCGTAACCGTGGAGAAACTCAGGATGGAGTTTTTTGTCCACATTCTTAGACGCCTCGTTGGGGATGCCACGGCCGGCCGCCATTGCAGGGACACTTAAAGAGGACAGAACGTTAATGGTGAAGAGAATCAAAAGAAAAGTGCAAAGGAAACGACCAGCTTCTGCCATTGATGCTAGCTAGCTCTTGGTTGAATTTGATGGAGGGAATGAGTGGGTTGAAGTAAAGTTTGGGCTTCAGTATTTATAGGGTCAAAAGAAGGGCATGTAAAAGGCCCGGTTACAGGCCATTGGCTCTGTTCCCAATAATACTTGATGATTTGTACGGCGCCGCAGTGGATCAACACAAATTAAATAGCCACTATGCACCCCCAAAAATTTAAGAACCCTGTTTGGTAGCATATTCGATCATATACCCCGTAAAATAAAATACTAGTAAAAAATAACCAAGTGAATTTAATCATTCACAATTTACTACTCCCAAAAATTTAAGAACTCGAGTACCAAAATCGGTTGATTTAGCTGATTCTTCTGATTTAAGAAAAAAAAATTAAAATATATTTTATTAAAGAAAAATTCACATAAATAATCCGAATTATTAAGAGTCTTCTAATATTAATCTCAAATATGTGTAACTCTCGAATAATCCAAAATTTATAGACAGTCTTCCCTAGTTGATCCAGGTCACCTGCAACTTATACAACCGGTAAAAGTTTTTAAAAGAAAAACGAAAAAGGTTGGGCATTGGGCTGTTCATCTTCGTCCACCCTAATTACAGGCAGCTTGTTGCTTCCTTCGTTCAAGATATGTTTTGCTTTATTGTTAAGCTTTGGGATTCCATCTTAAAAAGTCTGGATCGTGCCGTCATTCATTTTTTTCGTCGATTCGTCATTCTCATTTTCTTTTATAATCACGTCGTCAATTTTTCACAAGGGGCCGACACCATGGATCGATTAGACTCTGATACCATGTTAAGATCCGGGATTTCATCCTAAAAAATCAACCTGATAGGAGGAGTAGCTCATGTCTTAATATAACATTGTATTCCTTCACATGTTTCCGGTGTGGGAATTTAACATTTATGTTTTCTTTTCTTTCCTCCTCCACCCATATGTAAATCTCCTTCTCACCTCGATTTCATTCTCAAATATGCTCCTAGATTTCGTACTTCATTCTTTCAATTTCATATTTGAAATATTTGATTTGGTCAATCCAAACTCTAATATATACGACACAGTTCATTGATGACCACTTTGTCACGGTGTGTCAAAATAAATTCAATATTAGCACTAATACGTAGTATAGTGAAGTAGAGTTCGTATCCACAGGGAAAAGAATAATTATCTTTTTACATAAACAAGTAATTAAAAAGGGGGAGGGGGGGTTGATTGAGTGATTTAATTAAATTAAACACGAAAATGAACGACTTATATGAGATTTAATTCAAAGATAAAAGGGACTTGGCATTGCTACTTTCCACTTGTTGATATATTTTAGTCGATCATTGTTATATCTATAACTTATCCCCTCTCGAATACTCAATCGAGGAGTACATCCAATTCATGGAGGGTAGTTATTAACAACGACCGTTCATTAATAACCCTTACTATTAGTCAAGTATAGAACACCGCCATATACTGACTTGATAGTAGCATTTAATCTCTTAACTCCTTGATGAAATCAATTGAGATTGATAACCTCTACACACCGGTTTTGGTTTAACCAACAAAATTAATCCCTCTTAACTTTATTGACCATGACCAGTTAATACTTGTGAAACCATCAACGATTAACCATCGGTTCGTTGATCGATTCTAGTAATAATTAAAATATGAAACAAAACTAGTTGATCCTTTAAGTAATGTTCAAAATATTAGTATGAAATATGAACATGAATTAATTAATACTCAAGGAAGAATATTAAAGAAGATGAATCCTACTATAGTTAATATCGATCAAGATGTTAACTAATTGTCATCTTAGTAACACTCCCCATATTAACATAGAGGAAGAAATAACTATCACTATAACTAATATCAAAATGTTAACTAATTGTCATCTTAGTAACACTCCCCAACATTGATATAGAAATAGTATTTAAAGGAAGAATTAATATTCAAGGAAAGAAGTTAAGAAAATAATTCACAACTTTAATAATCAACAAGCTTCAAGAGCAACACCAAGAAATGAAAGTTTAGCTCCTCATTTGGAGACTAAACATGCTATAAAAATATAAAAGAAATACTATTCTAAACTAAGTTAAAGAGTATGGAAGAAGGGGTTATTTTATTGTGAAGGAATAGGGGTGTATTTTTAGGTGTTTGGAGGTGGCAGGCCGGGTTGTGTACCCGATCGGGTATATAGGGTACCCGATCGGGTATTTTAGGCAGTTTCCCGGAAAATCACTGTTCTAGACATACCCGGTCGGGTATGAGCCAAAAAGTCCAAATCCTGCACGTTCTTTTGTCTCTCCAGATTCAGATTTTGACACCCGAATCAACTCAATACCCGATCGGGTATTGCCTATACTTGACCGGGTATATGAAATATTTTTTCAATCTTCTTTTTATCTTGTCTCCTTGCACTTTCCTTGATCTTTTGGGGTCCAAACTTGATCCTTTGGATGATCTTGACCTGTTTTAAGCTCGGAATAATCCTAATCTAAACAAATTACATCTATCTAAGAAAATTAACTAATTACACCAAAAGTGTGTAATTTTCCAAACAACAACAAATAAAACTAGTTAAAATAGAAATAATACATAGTAAAAATACAACTCTATCAACTCCCCCATGCTTAGTTTCTTTACTCGTCCTCGAGTAAAGTCAATGTTTCATCAACACTTTAAACAATCATGAACAAGCAAAAGACAACCAAGTAGTGTTTAAAATGTGTTTTACAAAGCGAAATGATTCCACTTATGCACTCACTACACACTTCATGATATTGGGTTTACTTGACTCCTATGCTTTCCATGTTCCTCTTCATCATTGTATCACCACATCCCTGTAAAAATAATTTCTCTCATTTCTTTCATTTTGCCTAGGATCTTTTTTTATTTATTTTTTTATTTATCCTAGCCTCTCATTTTTTTTCTTTCTCCCCTACTCACTCATTTTTTCTTTTGCTTTTATTGCTTAGATTGTCCATTTGGGTTTTCAACGTAACTAGCTTTTTTTATGTTTTTTTCTGTTTTTTAAAACAAGAATAAAGAGTATGAATGTGAGTATTCCATGAAACTCTCCCCCCAAGCTAGTCAAAGCACTGTCTCTAGTGCTCATCTTCAAGACGTCATAGAAAAGGAGAATTCGGACTTGGTGTAGGTGGAGTTAGGGAATTCAGATTTTGGATTAGTGGTGGGTTTTGTTTGTATAGAAATGAAAAATGTGGAGAGGATAAGAAGAATTTGGGTTTGGTTTGTTGATTTGGTGGATGTATGAAGAAGATATGAAAGTGTGAAATTGTAACTATGGAGGGTTTGGGGTGTTGGGTTCGAATGGGGTGATACGATTTTTTTTTTGAAAAGTGCAAAAATAAAATAAAATAAGTAAACATACCTTGCATGGGTTGCCTCCCAAGAAGCGTCTCGTTTAATGTCGCGGCACGACGCCATCATTGTGTTCAATAGTTCAAACTCGGATCGTGATAATTTATCTTCTTCACACTTTATTTCACTCCTAGGACTTCCATAGGAATGCTCAATTTATCGACTCTTCACTTTGGAAATCTTTCCAGGATCAAATATCCAGATTTTCATTGATTCATGTGGTGGGAGGAAGGGGAAGAAATTATCGTTTAGCAGGGTCAATGAAAAGTTTTTCGATCCCTCAATTTTGAAGAAGATTTCAGAAATGTCATTGTCATTTTCAAGATTATGTGTTTCTCTTAAAACTTCCAGAGATGATAGAGATACCTCAAAGGATGACAATGACAAAAATTTGAATTTGAAGCTCTGCTTATTCTCTTCTTTGACCAGTTGGAGCTCCGTGTCTTTTTCTTCTTTTACGTCTTCTAGATTCTGGATCTCCTTTTGCATTTCCTTTTCATTTGTCAATGTGATTGCGAAAGTTTGCTGTTTAGGATTACATTCTATTTGAGAAGGAAGTTTTTCCGAATCCCTTGCTTCAAGCCTACTCACAGCTCCGGCTATTTGAATCATTTGAGTTTCCAAGTTTGAAATGCTAGACTTGGTCTCATTTTTGAATTGCACCATGTTGTTCTGCATGGTGGTCATGTTGGTAGCAATAGCCCGAACCATATCCTCTGTAGACATGTTAGAGTTGGAGAACAGATCATACCTCATGTGAGGTACATCCCTTTCGTAACCAACATCATCAATTTGTTCAAGGTATTCATCTTGGAGCTTTGGGCAGAAATCCGTAAGATGCCTGTGAGACATGCAAATGTTGCATGTCTTGGCATCTTGAGCTTTTGAGCTTAAGATAAATTCCTTTATTAGAGAAGTCAAGAAGGAAATTTGACTCTCTAAGGATGAAGTGTTGGTATCCATATACTCATAACTCATGTAAGCTTAGAAAATAGAAGAGTAAGATATATTTTTTTATATTTTCTTTTTATTTTTATTTTTGTTTTTGATTTTTATGAGATAAAATAAAATGAAAAATAATTGTCTTTCCCCGGCAACGGTGCCAAATTTGACGAGCACTTTGTCACGGTGTGTCAAAATAAATTCAATACTAGCACTAATACGTAGTATAGTGAAGTAGAGTTCGTATCCACGGGGAAAGGAATAATTATTTTTTACATAAACAAGTAATTAAAAGGGGGGGTTTGATTGAGTGATTTAATTAAATTAAATACGAAGATGAACGACTTATATGAGATTTAATTCAAAGATAAAAGGGACTTGGCATTGCTACTTTTCACTTGATGATATATTTTAGTCAATCATTGTTATATCTATAACTTATCCCTTCTCGAATACTCAATCGAGGAGTATATCCAATTCATGGAGGGTAGTTATTAACAACGACCGTTCATTAATAACCCTTACTATTAGTCAAGTATAGAACACCGCCATATACCGACTTGATAGTAGCATTTAATCTCTTAACTCCTTGATGAAATCAATTGAGATTGATAACCTCAACACAACGGTTTCGGTTTAACCAACAAAATTAATCCCTCTTAACTTTATTGACCACGACCGTGCATTAATAAACCGAAGTTACTTACTTGTGAAACCATCAACGATTAACCATCGGTTCGTTGATCGATTCTAGTAATAATTAACATATGAAA